TCTGCTGCTTTTGTTGTTGTTGTTGTTGTTTAGCTGTGCCCTGTCCCCAGAGGTGGAGTCTACAGAGACAGGCAGGCCTCCTTGAGCTGCTGTGAGCTCCACCCAGTTTGAGCTTCCCAGCGGCTTTGTTTACCTACTTAAGCCTCAGCAATGGCGGGCACCCCTCCCCCAGCCTCACTGTTGCCTTGCAGTTAGATGGCAGACTGCTGTACTGGCAATGAGGGAGGCTCCCTGGGCGTGGGACCCTCTCGGCCAGGTGTGGGATACAATCTCCTGGTGTGCCTGTTTGCTAAGACCCTTGGTAAAGCGCAGTATTGGGGTGGGAGTTACCCGATTTTCCAGGTGTTGTGTGTCTCAACTCCCCTGGCTAGAAAAAGGGATTCCCTTCCCCCTTGCGCTTCCCAGGTGAGGCGATGCCTCACCCTGCTTCAGCTCTCGCTGGTCGGGCTGCAGCAGCTGACCAGCACCGATTGTCCAGCAATCCCTAGTGAGATGAACCCAGTACCTCAGTCGAAAATGCAGAAATCACCTGTCTTCTGTGTCGCTCGTGCTGGGAGCTGGAGACTGGAGCTGTTCCTATTCGGCCATCTTGCTCCGCCCCCTAGAGTTCATTTTATCCAGGGTCAGTGTTTTTCCATACAGGTGAGGCCAACAGAAAGAGGGAGTTTAGGATATTGGCAAGAGTGCTGCGGAAAGACGTAATCTAAGCTGGATAAAGAGAAAGATGAAATAAAAGAGAGGGATGATGGATTGTAAGAAAGCAATAGAGCAATGGACTGGAGTTCCTGATGAGCTTAAAGAATGGTCATGTTGGGAGAATTAAACAAGCTGAGAGGATGGAGGGCAAGTGATGACAAGCACTATTATGTAATTGGGAATGTGGTTGGTTTATGTAGAGTTAGTGATGGGAGGACATCCAGAAAAGAGGGGAGGAGAGCACAGCTTTAGACAGGTCTTAATTCATGAACACTGAAGTCATCCACATGATGGCAGATTTAGTATGGTGAAAGTTGGCTCTCCCTTTAGCCAGAGTTCCAGATTGAGTGACCAGGAAATTGGTACTTATCAATAAAGAGTGGAAGAATATAGTGTAATCAAAAAGCATGAGCTTCAAAGGAATAGATTTTTATGTTATTTATTAAAGAAAGAGGGCAAGTTGTAATGATTTGGAAGTGGTGAATGGAGAGTGAGGAGTGTTAAAACAAGCTCACTTTCCAATCTTGAGGTACATGGAGTGTGGGAATATAGAGCCACTAACCAGAGGGTCGCATGTCAGTAGTGCCATAGGGAATAACTAGATTTCAACTAAGGTAGAGAGGAATAGAGTTTAAAGATAGAAGAAAGTTTTCACAACTACCTCACGAATCTTTCCACTAATGCCAAATTTTTTTTTCACTGTAATCTCCTGAACAATTCTCTTGTTTTCTTATCTTTCTCTCATCCCCAGCTACCCTTCTCCTCACTACCCCACAATTGAAAGCCTTACCATCATTCAACATTTGGTCTTTGGAACAGGAGAGGTCTGTGGTTTCCTCTGATTATACAAGTGGGAAATTATCTCTCTCTCTTCTGAATTAGGACTATTGGTTGAAATAAAACTTATTATTTATTTCATTTGTACCCCTTTGTTTTGTTTGTAATTATCCTGTCTTTTGCCTTCCTAAATTGTAGCACAGTGCCTTGCACTACAGAAGTATTTGTTAAATGAATGAGAACAAGACAATGTATTTCTTTCTTCAAAGCTCTGTTTTTACTATTTTCCCCATTCTTCTATGTGTTAAGTCTACCAATTAGGCAAACCATAGACAAAATAAGAAATAGACCTTTTGTTACTTTTCTGTATTTATATCTAAATATTTTCTCTGCTCAGTTATCAAATTACAGTTAATAAAAGGGGTCATTTCTGTATTTATTTCATGTGAGGATTCACACTTTAAAGATTTAGTATAATATTCAAAAATCACAATTACTTTTGTATCAACCTAATAATAAAGTTAACTAACATTCACCTTAGTAAGCACTTACTGTGTGCTTTAAATGTGTTAACTAATTTAATTCTTGTAACAACCTATGAGGTTCTTACTATGACAATTCTCATTTCAAAGGTGAGGAAAGCAAGGCAGATAGGTAACTTACAAAGTAAATCACATGACTATGAGTGTTAAAGCTTGTATATGAGCTTGGAACCCAGGCATCCTGTGCTCTTAACTACTATGCTATACTGCCTTATATAATCATTAACTGTATTGCTGGGTATGTGGAATTACTATGGTATTATTTATATCTCACACTAGTTATTCAGTTAATAATGGTTTTATTTTCAGATTACCTTAAAGAAAATATAACTCAACAACATATGGTTTCTCCAGAACCAGCTTCGCTTAGGGAGAAAGGGAAGTCATGGAGAAAAAAGGATCAAACTCATGCTTGTCCAAAAGTTAGGAAAGCCAGGCCTGTGTCATATGATAGAACAGGTATGTGGTAGGTATCATTGAACCAGATTGCTTAGAAATCACTGTACTTTTTCAAATTATTCTGTGGTTTGTTTGCTTATATTGGACATTGACTTTAGAAAAAACAGTATTACTGAATTTTATGTGTTTAGTTGCTTAAAGGATTATTAAAATGCTTTTTAAGTTCTTTTTGAAAATCTAAAATATTACATTGAATAATTGACAGAGATTGTTTAATCACTATTCTTAATTAAGAACAATCTCTGAAGGCTATGATTTTAGAACTATAATATAAACTGTATGGTGTTTTACATATAACTGTAGTAAAACTTGATGGTTTCATTTTATTTAACAATTTTATACCTTTGTCTGATAGAGAGTTTAAATCTCCAAATAAATAGTTTATTTAAGTAGATTTTCTTCCACTAACATCTTCTAGTTTGTGTTTTCTCTATGCCTGAAATTCTTCTTAGTATTAATATTTTACATTTTATAAGAGAAAGAAAACTTTTCTATTTTCATTGAAACACCATGATACAGAGGTAGATTTATCATAAAGCTATTGAAGCCTAAGCTTCAGGGCCCCTGACTCACACAGGCTTCGCCCTTTCTTTAAATAAATATCCTCAAAATTATAAGTACCTCATACAGCACAAAACTTGCACAGACGTGGTGTTGTTCATGCCCTCGTATAATTCTCTCCCCTTAAATGTGGAAAGGACCTGTGAATGCTTCTAACTAATAGGTGATGGGCTGTCAATGCTGTGATTATATTACATTATCCAAGACTCCACCTTGCTGGTGGACTTGTTCTAGAGTCTCTCCCCTTTGCTGGCTTTGAAGAAGCAAGCTACTATGACTCAAATCACAAGGAAACAAGTTCTTACAACCTCAGGGAGCTTGGAAGCAGATCTTTTCCCAATAGAGCCTCCAAATGAGAATCCATTACCAACCAACACCATGATTACAGCCTTTGAGACTTTAAGCAGAGGATGCAGTTAAGCTGTATCTAGACTCCTGACCCACAGAAACTGTGAGATAGTAAATACATGTTGTTTGAAGCCACTAAATTTGCAGTAATTTGTTATGCATTGTTTTAGTCCATTCTCACACTGCTATGCAGAAATACCTGAGACAGGGTATTTTATAAAGGGAAGGGGTTTAATTCACTCACAGTTCTGCATTCCTGGGGAGGCCTCAGAAAACTTACAATCATAGTGGAAGGTAAAGGAGAAGCAGGCACCTTTTTCACAGTGTGGCAGGATGGAGTGAGTGCAAACAGGGGAAATGCCACATGCTTATAAAACAATCAGATCTCGTGAAACTCACTCATTATCATGAGAACAACATGGGGGAAACCACCCCCATGATCCACTTACTCCACCTGGTCCCACGCTTGACACATGGGGATTATGGGGATTACAATTCAAGGTGAGAGATTTGGGTGAGGACACAGAGCCACACCATATCATGCATCTAGGAAACTGATACAGTGGCTTTATTGCAACAAATGTTGCTGTACATTAAGAATTCTTAGTATTTAGTTGCATTGTCCTTTAGTGTTTTGAAATTGGTATCTAGTGTAAGAAAGGCCAGTAATTTAGGTTTAATGGTTGCCAGATAAATAAAATTCTAATTCTTTACTGATTGCATTTCTTTAATTTGCTTCCCTCATTTAGCTTCTATAAATTCATGAATACATAAACTGGTAAAGACCTAAGTAGCATTTTGTTTAGATTTTAAAACAATTATTAAATATTTCAAATATACAATATAGAGAAAATAATTTAGTATTCATGTACTCATTACCAGGATTTAACAACATTTAGTCATTTTTTAAAAAAAGGAAGTTGTAGACAGAATTCTAATATGCCCTCCAGTATTCCTACCCTCTAGTGTACATGCTTTGTATAATTGCCTACTCCTAAGTGGAAATAGAACCTGTGAATAAGATAGACTGTCACTCCCATGCTTTTATATTATTTATATGGCAAAGGGATTTTCAGATGTATTTAAGACCCTTAATCAGTTGACTTTAAATTTATCAAAGGAGACTATTAGAGGCAAGCCTGACCTAATCAGATAAACCCTTAAGAGACCGCAAGTAGTAGCAGAGGCCCTGCCACTGCCTTTGAAGGAGCAAACTGCCGTGTTGTAGAGAGGGCTACATGGCAAGAACCCTAAAGTTCGCTGAGAACTGTACCCAGCCAACTACCAAGAAAATGGGGACCTCAGTAGTACAGCCATAAGGAAACGAATTCCACCTCAAACCTGAGGAGCTTAGAGGCAAGTCTTTCGCTAGCCCAGCCTCCAGATAAGGGCATGGTCAGCTGACACTTTGGTTTCAGTCCTGTAAGACCCTGAGCAGAGGACCCAGCCAAAATTTGCCAGACTCCTGACCTTGTTTCTTTTTAGTAAGCATTCTTGATTCTGTCATGAACTAACCTAACTCTTTTTTAGAAAGATGCTTTCTTTCCAGCTTTTTGAAAGTTATGCCTTCCTTATATTTTACTATTTATTCTGAAAAAGGGTTCTTTATTTGCTGAAATTGCCTCCATTTTTGAACAGTCTTTGTCAGATCTGTTGAATCTGCCAAATCACACTCAAAAATGAAAATGCTAATTTATGATACTTTCATGATATTACGCAAGGGGAATACCCTTGCCAATAGCTGATATTTTCCAATTTTAAAGTTTTTGCCAGTCTGAGTGAGATATGTGTTTTAATTTTTATTTTATTTGCAATTCCCTGATTACTAATGAGGTTGAATACTTTTCCATATGTTTATGGGCCGTTTATCTTTTCCTGTAAATTTTTTGTTCATCTTTTTATCAAAATGTTTATTTTTTAATCGTTAAGAATTCTTGAGATATTTGGTATAGTAATCTCTAGCCTGTTATATAGGTTATAAACATCTTTTAAAAATGTGTTAATTACATTTTAACTTTGTGTATGGTAGTTTTTCTTGTATATAAGTTGCTAAGTTTGAGCAAGTCAAATGTATCATTGTTTTCCTTTTAACATGCTTTGATTCTTTTTCAAGAAGCCTTCACTGCCCCAGTTTTATAAACATATTCTGCCATATTTTCTTCTAGTATTTCTATAATTTGTTTTTCCACATTTACAGCTCTAATCCATCTATAATTTATGCTTGCATATAACTGCATATTTATTTCAAATGGCTAACCACTTTTGCATTATGATTTATTGAATAGTTAATCGTTCTTCTGTTGATTTGAATTATCTTTTTCACTTATTAGATTGGCTTGTATATGTAGTTATATTTCGAAACTCTAATTTGTTCTACTTCTTTGCTTTTCTATGTCAATACCACACTATTTTGATTTCTAGAAGGTATATATTTTTATATCTGGGTCTATAATGTTACTTATCCTCTTGTCAGACATACACAGTTGTACCATATCCTTAATACTAATTTTCAATACCTCACCTAGGGCACAAAATGTAAAGAGGGGCTCACTCTTAGAGTCATGCAAGTGCCTCATCCTAGTTATCATACTGTCTTATACAAGAGCTCAAGTCTCATTTAATCCTTAGAAAAGAAGTTGTTTTAGTCCGATGTTGTTTGTAATTTCTAGAGGGCCAGAAATATAACTTCTTAGCATGGCTTTCTGTATGCTTCTCTTTCCAAGATTTGTTCTATCAAGAAAATAAGTTTAAGGGCCAACAGGACAACCTGTATAGCATAGTGAATAAAAGCCAAGAAAAGAGACTCTTTCAAGAACGAGAGGATTGTCAACTGTTGGCTAAGAGATTAAGTGAGAGATGATCTGAAAGGTGTCTGTGGGATGAGTATCCTTAGGAAAAATATTTCCATCCCACCCTGTCATCCCTGCTTTTCTGATCCAACTGCCCCTCCCGCAGCTTAGGCATTTATTAAGAAAAGCCTTATAACCAGTTCCTGTTCCTAGTCTCTTCTCTTATTACTACCTGTGTAATTATGAATTAGGTCTTTTGTGACGTCTTTCTTAAATTGATAAATATTATTCCCTCTTTCCAACCTCTGTTAAAACTGAATTTTAAGCTATATTTTCTCCTCTAATAATATAATCGTTTAAGTTACCATTTAGATTTTTTTCTCTATATAGAAATATTTGGAATATTTTGCATTATCCTTAAGTGATGCCCACATTTGCACTTATATTGGATTTTTAAATTGTTCTATACCAGAACCAAAAGATGATGATGTGATAAGAAATATTATTAGGCTACGAGAAAAGCTTGGTTGGCAAACTGTATTACCGCAGCACAGTTTGAAATATGGAAGTTCCAAAATTGCAGTTCAGAAGATTACTTTAAAGGTATTGTTCTATTTTATTTAATTTTGATCTTTAAAAATCAATGTTGAAATTATGTTTTTATTTTTATTTCATTTCAGATATTATGTCAAAGTCAAACATTACATTAATATCAAGTTACAATTATTTCATGGTAAATGCAAAAGTATTTGACATCATTTCATTTTACTTATTTAGGAAATGGAGAATAGATCAAGCATATAAACTTTAAGTCTATGACACATCAAAATGTTTGTGTTTGTCTCCTCTTATCACTTTCTTTGAGTGAGTCCCCAGGAAAGGTGTATCATCTGCCTGAAACTTGAATCTACTGTTTGGTTTCTGGATATCACTTTTTCTGTGATTTAAGAAGAAATTGTTAGGTAATGTAACATTCTATTCTTCTCACACTCTAACTCCCTGGTACCTGATTTTCTATCTCATCTGGTCTGTGTTTCCTTATGCTATTCATTTTTTTCTTACCCATTAGCCTCTGTCTTCAGAGAAATTTTAGCTTGTCCAAGGTCACATGACCAGAGGGTAGAAGCTGTGGTAAGAACTAAGGTTTGTGTCCTGAGACCTCATTTATTACAGATGCTCTAAGATTGAACAGGATCATCTCTCCCTACTGTTAGAAAGGGGACTCTCAAAATGTGGTCCCCAGGCAAGCAACACTGGAATCACCTTAGAACTTACTAGACATACATATTCTTATCTGCACCCTAGACCCACTGAATCAGAAACCTTTGGAGGCAGAGCCTTGCAATCTGTATTTTATTCAGTTCTCCACGATTCTAATACACAATTAAGAACCACTGCTCCCAACCAAGGATCAGCAGATTTTTTTCTGAAGAGGACCAGGTAATAAATACTTTAGATTTTGCAACTACTCAACTCTGTCACTGTAGTACCAAAGCATTGATAGATAATACATACATAAATGGATGTGACTGTGTTCCAATAAAACTTTATTGACAAAAACAGGCACCTTGCCCTGCTCTACACTGTTACCATGAAGATAAATCATCTTTTGATCATTTTTCAGAGGCAACAATGTGAAGGAAAGTACATGTATAATTGAATCAGATTTACCTAGTTTTGAACCTGTACACTCACCATGTTATCAAGTTCCTAACCTCTTGAGCTTTAGTTTTTTGACCTTGAAATGGAGATAATAATAGTTACCATGGAGGACTGTGAAAATTAAATATATGCCATGGTGCCTGGCAGGTGGTGGGCACAGTAGTTTAAAAACAAAACAAAACCATAGCTGTACATGGGTTCCTTGGACTCTCAAATAAAGTGAATTTCATTTGTGTGTGAAGAAAGGATTGAGAATATGATTAAACACCTGTTTTTAATTGAAAAAATAATTTAATTGGAACATTTTTATGCTTTTATGATTTGATTTTTTAATTATATATGAGATCCATTTGGAAGATTTGTATCTATCTTGTTTCTTAGTAATGTTTTAAAACCTAATTTAGAACATAAATGACTCAAATAACCAAATAACAATTAAAAAGGTCATACATTATACAAGTCATCATTTAGAGCTCATTTATTTCCTGTTATTTGCAGTTTTTAAACTTGTTTTTGAGGGTTTAATATTGATTATATTAGAAGCTGAAGTAAGAAAGTGAAACAGCTAAAATAATTGAGAAGAAACAAGTAATCTTCAAGGAAGACAGAATTTTAAAAAGTGTAAAACTGGATCCAAAATTTAAAGCTACAATGATTGGAAACCATTTAGTTACACAATTAAATAGCTTCTGAGGACATCACTAAATACTAAATGCTTTTTTATGGTAAAATTTATCCAGAAAAGACTAAAGTTTTCTTGTGATTTTAGAATTTTTTATCAATAAAAGTTAAAAGTTTCAGGAAACTTTTATTTTAAAGCTAAAATAAATACATTTTACTTAAAATTTTCCTTAGTGTGTAATGGCTGATTTTTCAATGCCAAATATGGGAGAGGCATTATAATTTATTGCAATAGCTTAGAATATGGGTTTAGAGTCAGACTTGGATTCACATCCCTAGTTCACCATTTCCTGAATTTGTGACTTTTCTCAAATTATCTAACTTATCAAAATATTCATTTTTTTAAATTTGAAAAACAGGGTCTTTCTCTGTCACCTAGGCTGAAGCCACAATGGTGTGAGTAAAGCTCCCTGCAGCTTCAAACTCTTGGGCTCAAGTGATCTCACCTCAGCCTCCTGAGTAGCTGGGATTACAGACGTGAGCCACCTCACTCAGTTCCCTCAAAGTATTAATTTCTGCAATTGTTTAGTGAGATTAAAAATATCAAGCCTTAGTTTCTTTAAATTTGAGAGGTGAATGTTAATAGATTAAACTCTTATGGTTGTAAAGATAATGTATATGAAAGAGTTATTACTCATTATTTATTACTTAACAAATAATAGCTATTTTTATCTTATACTAAACCGCCATCATTATCAAAATAAATGACAAATTTAATGTGCCCAAAGATTTCTGGTGTTGGCAGACAAATACTGGAAGATGGCATATTATGTAAAAGGTATGTCGTCGAGTTCTTTGGATTAATAAGCATGTATTATTAAGCATATAGATATTTTTTTCTGAATTAAGGATCCTTTTTTAAGGATGAAAATTAAATATGTTAAATCTTTCATAAGATTGATCTTGTTGAACATTGTTTAGACACAATTTGATGTTAGCTTTTCTCCAAATATAGTATTCTTATTTTTAATCTGTGTTTAAATTATTTCAATTTAGTGGATAATCAGTTCAGCCATTGTATTAATTTTGTTAATTTAGTCAAATTAATTAAATTTCTTTATTTTTATTTTTTTAAATCTCAGAAACCTTTGGAAGATGATGGAGAATTTGTATATTGCCTTCCTCGGAAAAGTCCTAAAGCCCTTTACAATCCGTATGATCTTCAGGTAGTATCGGCTCATACCGCTAAACATTGCAAAGAATTTTGGGTTATTACTGCTTCATTTATCTCAAAGGTAATGTTTAATGGATGTTTTAAGCTTTTGGAATTACAATACAAAAATATTATCCAATGTAGAATTTAATTGCGTACATTTATCTTTCTGTTTCAGAGATACTTGGTCATTTGTGGAGCAGTTTGTGTATAAGAATCTGCTTGGGAGAATGTTATTTAATAGTGAAGTTTTTCCTTTTGTGTAGAGATTTAGGTTTGGAGATTCAACTTTAATAAATTTTTTCATCTATCAAATACTTTGTTAATACTTGGAGTAAATTTTTAAAGGAAGAACTACAAAACAAGCATTTGCTAACAATGGGAACTATAATAATAAAGAAAAGAATCTTCTTTATTGGTACATTTGTCAGAAACTTTATTGCCAGATGTAGAAATCCCCCTTTTACACTCTTATATAGCATTTATCACAAGTTGAAAATATACAATTACTTGTTTTAATGATTTGTTTAATGTCTGTCTGCCTTTTTCTGCCCTCCCAGCCTCCCAACTAAAATGAACTTTATGCATGGGCAAGACCACATCTTTGTATGAGGTAGATCTGTATGTGCAGATACAGAAATACCTCTATTAGTATCAAGTGAGAATGGAGGAAAAACTTGTATATATATATGAATATACACATAGATACATATGTGCTGATAAAAATATGCATACTTTTATCTCTGGAATAAAATTTTTTTTTAAATGGTGACATTCAGATAGGGGAGGGCCACTCATGGGAAGAGAGAGAACTCCTTGATGAAGGGCATGTAGTTTTTGAATGTCAATATAGGATATGTGGGTAGTGAGATTATAAGCCACTTTGGACTACCGCATCTCTGTAGCTAAAATTAAGTTCATAAATACTACTTTTATAGAAAATGTAAAAATTGTGAGGCTCAAATTTGAACAGCTATTTGTGAAAAGTATCTCAGGGTGAGGAGGAAGTTTCTCTCTGTCAGAGCACAAGAAATAGCGTTAGAAAATAGCAAGTGGCACAAGTATACATATGTAACAAACCTGCACGTTATGCACATGTACCCTAGAACTTAAAGTATAATAATAATAATAAATAAATAAATAAAAATAAAAAAAATAAAAAGAATACAAAAAAAAAAAGAAAATAGCAAGTGTAGAAGCAGTGTGTTGAGGGAAATCAAATTTGGGTATAGATAAAATAGCTGAGGATTCATACATGGAAAAAACTTAGTTATAAAGTCAAGAAGTTATCAGCCAAATACAGGCTTTCTTAATTTCTTGAAAATGGTACATATTTTTAAAATAAAATAATGCTTTTGTGCCTTATTTTGTAGGTCACTAATATCGTTGGTAGTATAGAGGAAGTAGAACTCATACCTACTTTGGAATGGCTATCAGAAAGAAGACATTACTATTTATTACGTCAATTCAAGATATTTTCTGATTTCCGGTGAGGTGAAAAAAAATGAAACCAGTTCTTTGTAGTTTGATCCTGTTGAAGGAGCAGTTGCCCGATTGACATCTGGGTTCTACTACAGTAATACCAGTAGAAAATAGTACTAATTCCTTTATCTAAAAAATTTTTATGGAACACCCCATTTCCTCTGTAACTTATGAAGAAATGCCAATAATTTTGGCATTTAAGAAGCATTTTTCCTTTCAGAATTAATAAAGCATTTGTTACCGGTAACTTATGAGGAAATGCCATAAGTTACAGAGGAATGGGATGTTCCATAAAAATTTTTTAGGTGAAGGAAGTTTACCCTTTTCAGTATTACAACTCTTAATTTTAGTCTTTTTGGATAAATATTGTAAAAATATTTTATAGTCAAGCAAACTTAAATACACCCTACAGTTGACTCTGCCACAATGCAAGGGTTAGGGGCCCTGACCCCCTACACAGTTCAAAATTTGAGTATAACTTTTGACTCTACCCAAACTTTGCTATTAATACTAATAGTCTACTGTTGACAAGAAGCTTTATCAGTAACATAAACAATCATTAACATATTTTGTCTGGTACATGTATACTGTATTCTTACAATAAAGTAAGTTAGAAGAAAGAAAAAGGAAAATCATAAGGGAGAGAAAATAAATTTACTACTCATTAAATGGAAGTAGATCATAATAAAGTTCTTCATCCTTGTCATTGTCACACTGAGTAGGCTGAGGAGGAGGAGGAAAAGTAGAGATTGGTTTTGCTGTCTCAGGGGTGGCAGACGTGGAAGAAAATGTACATGTAAATGGACTTGTGCCATTCAAACCCATGTTGTTCAAGAGTCAGCTATGTTGACTTGGGTTTGCCTTTTTTTCCGTGCATATATTTATTTATATGAATATTTATTGAGAGTCTATTAAGAACCAGGCATATTCTAGATGCCAGGGATATTGTATTGAACAAACCAAGCAATTGTCCTGCACTCAAATATGTATATCATAGTGGGTGAGAGATAATGGAAAACATGCAAATATGTGAAATATTGAGTGGAGACTAAATGTGGTTGAAGGAAAATAAAACAGAGTAAGGGAGCTGGAGGCAGCTTGTTGATTCAAGTTCATGATTAAAAATTTATCTAGTTTTAAGGTACATTATGTTACATTATGTTATATCACATCACATTAGGATTCCCAAGACTGATTCTTCACAGAGTAGTTCCAGGTTATTGTTCTTTTAGTGTTTGTATCTAGTTCTATAATTTTCTTGTTTCTTCTCTAATGTCTGCTTTTTCTTGTGATATGTTCTTGTCTGCTGGGGACTAGGAAAACAGATAAATAATATTTTAAATTGTTTATTTAATATGTAAATAGCTTGAATAACTAAGGACCTGAGAATTTTTTTTTTTTTTTTGGTAAGAGAAGAAGGATTTTGTGACAGAGAAATTAATTATTGAATAAATGTTATTGTGTACCTATTTTGTTTCACCTGTGTTAAGAACTGGAGACAGAACTACGAAAAAATATACAAGGTTTCTATTCCTATAGAACTTATATTCTAATGGAAGGAGATAGATAATAATAGGTAAATAAATAATTTCAGATCGTGATGAGGCCTAGAACTATAATAAAACAGAGAATTAGAGATGTGTGTGTGCATTGGTTCTTTAGATAGGATGGTCAGAGATGTGGCATTGAAGCAGAGACCTAGATGATGAAAACTAGGCAGCCCTGTGGGAGCTCCAGAAGATGCAAGTTTCAAAGTTGTGAAGCAGGAACTAGTTTAGTATGGATTTGACAGTAGAAGTGGTGTTCCTGGAATGAAGTTGGTAGGAAATGAAGCTGGTTCTGTTATTTTCTGGGACCTGTCACATGTAGCGTAGGTGACTGAGTAACAGTTCTAAGTTTCTCGTCAAAGAGAGGTGATAGTTGCGTCCCTGTAATTTAGGAGCTAGAATTGGGGCTAGATAGGTTTTTGATTCTGGGTTATCAATTTAAGATAGTATCCAAAGTAATATTTTCTGTATCTTTTTATTTGAGACTCTGTCAGTGTCAGACTTTCCACTGTTATGCTTGCCTTTTGATACATCCTCAGGGTCTGCTGTGCTCTAAATAGTTATCATTTATTAAACTTTTTAAATTCAGCTGCAACTGGGACAAGAATCATCTTTTTACATGACATTTGGTATCAAAGTCTATAGTCAAAATGATTCACTTTCTTTATTCATGTTAAGAAAAAATAAATTAAATTTTTTATTTACTTAATTTGTACTTAATTTTATATACACTTAATATACTTACTTAATTTTAAATTTTATTTTTAATATTTTCATAGTTTTTCTTAGATCACGATATTGTAAAAGGTAATATTTCAAATAGAAAAATGAGATAAAGATGAAGTGTTAACAACTTATGCTGGTGATGCCAGTACAGGGGTGATTAGACCATCAGCATCATTGTTTTACCTCATGAAACTTTTCTGGTATATTAGTTTTTGTGACCTGGTGCAGATACGCCTTACACCGTTGGGTTCCCCTCTGATTCTTAAGGATTTTCAGGGATCTTCTAGGGTTCTGAGATACCATGACTCTATGGATTTGGATTAAAGTGAAATAGTAACTTATGTGGAGTGCTTCTTTGGAACTGGATTTAAGGTCAAGGTACTAGATTTTGATTGAGGCAGTCCTGATTTTCAAGGCCTCGGGTGAGCCTGTTTGAAGGATATCATGGGATTCTCTTTGAACTGCTTGGATGGCTCCAGGCCCCTTTCAGCCTTCTTTGATTCAAAATTAGCCAACATCATCACTAAGATTGGCTGTTTGGCTTCTCAGACACACCCCTATCCCTACGATTTTCTGCTACCCACTAGCTCTCACCAGCTACATAAGTAATCTCACATTGGCAAACAAGTATCACATCTCAGTGTTTATTTAAAGGTGGTTGTTTTCCTCTAGATGCAAAGGCTACCAAGGAAGCAATTGTGATACTGCATTAGACTAGTCCCACACGTGCATAATGTAGGTGGCAATATTCATTTAGAGTTGAGAGAGATTTGCAGACACAGTTGGCATGTCTTTTTCAGAATGCATGACAATTATTGATGATGAATCATAACCAGGGAAACTTTCCAATTCCTTCTCATGTAGGTTCTTTGAGTTTTAAAAATTACAAGTGCATTTTTTACATAAGTATTAAATAATATCAAAATGACATACATTACCTTAATTTTCTACTTACCACTATAGAGACTTTTTATCAATGTACCTTTTCATTATTACTGAAAATTGAATCTTGACTTTTCTTGAAGTATGAAGTCTCTTTTCAAAGTAAGCCAATAAACATATAAAGGAAAACAATATTTTAAAAATCATTTTTAATATTTATTGGAATGCTGCAGCTAAGTGAATCCTGCATCTGTGAGAATTATAAGGACTTTCATTTACCTTTACCTTTTGCTCTATATTCTGCTGATAGTCTGGGAGAAAATTTATATGGTTTAGCATTTACTTTAGGTAACTCAGGATGAATGAAACATGTTCTAGAGAATATTCTGATATTACTAAGCTTTTACTAAATTTATTCCATATAAATGGTTTATGGATATGGAATATAAGAAGCATTTTTCCTTTCAGAATGAATAAAGCATTTGTCACCTGGAAATTGAATGTTAAAAGAATTAAGACAGAGAAGAGCAGGTAAGTTTTGATATGCAATATATTTATAAAAATTTCAAAAGGAAGCTATATGTTTTACATGTAGTGTGGAAGCAGATATAATTTCATTTTCATTCAGTGATTAGAAAGTCACATTCCATTGCTTTATGATGAAACTTAACCCATTTTTATTTTTTAAAAACTATTAAACACTGTATTTTGCAGTATACCATTCTATGGTCATAGAGCTATGGAAAACCTTGATGAGTTCCCTTGGTCACTTTATCTAACTTCTTGCTTCCAGGAAGAAGAATAATTAAGTCATTTAAAGTAGACAACAGTAATCTTATTTTGTGAGATCTCCAACAGCCAAATGTTTTTTAAAATTGTTTTTATTAAACTTTTTATTTTGAGATAGTTGTGGATTGAGATGCAGTTATAAGAAATAATAGAGATATCCCATGTACCTTTTACCCAGTTTCCCTCCCAAATGTTGCAAAACTACAGTCTATTTTGACAGCCAGGGCATTGACAATGATATATAATCAATATATAGAACACTTCTATCACCACAGGATCCCCTGTGTTGGCCTTTTATAGCTATACCCCCCTCCCTCCTATTCCTGCTCCCTCCTTGACCTGTGGCAACCACTAATCTGTTAGCTATTTCTGTAATTTTATCTTTTCAAGAATGTTCTTATGATAAATAACAATAAATCAAGAGGAGGGAAGGAAACTTTTGGAGGTGACAGTTTATGGCATAGATTGTTCACAGATGTATACTTATCTCCACATGCACCAATTGTATACATTAAATAGGTACAGCTTTTTGCATGTCAATCATACCTCAATTAAATGGTTTTCAAGAAAAGAATGCTGTATCTGCACAGCAAAGGAAATAATCCACAGGGTGAAGAGACAGCCTGCAGAATGGGCGAACATATTTGGCAACTGTTCATTCTCTAAGGGATTAATATGCAGAATATACAGGGAACTCAACAGTAAAAAATAAATAATCTGATTTAAAAATGGGCAAAGGATCAGAATAGACATTTCTCAAAAGAAGGAATACAAATGGCCAATAGGTATATGAAAAGATGCTCAACATCCCCAATCATCAGGGCAATGCAAATCAAAACCACAATGAGATATCACCTCACCCCAGATAGAATGACTGTCATCAAAAAGACAAAAAATAAATGCTGATGAGGATATGGAGAAAAGTTAGCTCTTATACACTATTGGTGGGAACGTAAATTAGCCCAACTAAATGAAAAAACAGTATGGAGGTTTCTCAGAAAACTGAAAATAGAACTACCATACAAGCCAACAATCCCACTACTGGGTATTTACATGAAGGAGGGAAATCCGTACGTATATTGAAGAGACACCTGCATCCCCATGTTTACTGCAGCACTGTTCACAACAGCCAAGATAGGAATCAATCTAAAAGTCCATCAACAGATGAATGAAGACAATGTATATATACACAAAATAGAAAACCAGCCAGAAAAAAAAGAATAAAATTCTGTCATTTATGTCATTTATGGCAACATGGATGAGCTTGGAGGACATTATGTTAAGTTAAATAAGTCAGGCATGGAAGGACAAATATCTCTTGTTCTCACTCATATGTGGGAGCTAAAATATTTGAGCTCATAGAAGTAGAGAGTAGAATTGTGGTTATTAGATGATGAGAAGGGTGTTGTGGAGGGGAGGATAGAGAGAGGTTGGTTAACAGCTAGATGGGAAGAATAAGTTCTAGTGTTCTATAGCTTTGTAGGGTAACTGTGGTAAACAATAATTCATTAAATTTTTTCAAATAGTTAGAAGATTTTGCATTTTATTGTTATTTCCTTTTTTAGAGACAGTGTCTCAACTCTTGCCCAGGCTGCAGTACAGTCATGTGATCATAGCTCACTACAGCCTCAAACTCCTGGGCTCAAGCAGTCCTCTCACCTCAGCCTCCTGAATACCTGGGGCTACAGGCATGCACCACCATGCCCAGCTATTTTTTATTTTTATTTTGTAGAGATGGGGACTCACTATGTTGCCCAGGCTGGTCACCAACTCCTGGCTTCAAGTAGTCCTCCCACTTTGACCTCCCGAAGTACTGGGATTACAGGCATTAGTCACTGTGGCTGGCCCTTAAAAAAGAGGATATTGAATGTTATCAAGTCAAAGAAATGATAAAGGTTTGAGGTGATGAATATGCTAATTATCCTGATTTACTAACACATTGTGTATATTTATTAAAATATCACAATTATTTGGATTAAGGGTGGGGCAAGATGGCAGAATAGAATCCTCCACTGATTATATCTCATGCAGGAACACCAAATGTGACGGCTATCTACACAAAAAAACCATCTTCATAACCAAAACTCAGGTGAGCAACCACAATACCTGGTTTTAACTTCATATTGCTGAAAGAGGCACTCAAGAGGGAAGGGAACAGTCTTGAATCACTGATCGCATCCTTCCCCCAACCCATGGCAGTGGCTGTGTGGTGGGGAGAGATAATCTGAGCACTTAGAGGAAGGAGAGTGCAATGCTTGTGGGACTGTTAATTGAACTCATTGCTGCCCTGTCACAGCAGAAATCAAAACCTAGCTGAACTCAACGGACAGCCACCCACAGAGGGAGAATTTAGACCAGTTCTAGCCAGATTGGAATCGCCCATCCCAGTGGTTGGAACTTGAGTTCCACCAAGCCTCACCATTGCAGACTAAAGTGCTATGTGGTCGTCAATAAACTTGAAAGGCAGTGTAGGCCACAAGGACCACAATTCTTGAACAAGTCCTACTGCTGTTTTGGACTTTGAGCCAATGGATGTGGGGGGCCCCAACCTAGTGAGACATCAGCTGGAAAGGCTAAGGAGTGCTTGCACCTACCTCCCCTAACCCCAGGCAGCACACCTCACAGCAAAGAAAGTCACTCCTTTCTTTTGTTGAGGAGAGGAGAGGTAAGACTAAAGAGGACTTTGATTTTTCTTGCATGTTGGAGACCAGCTCAGCCACAGTAGGAGAGGGTACCAGGCAGTCATCAGGTCCCCATTCCAGGTCCTAGATCCCACACATTTATAAACATACCCTGGGCTAGAAGTGAACCCACTGCTGTGAAGGGAAGAACCCAGTTCTGGCAAGATTCATAATCTGCTGACTAAAGAGCCCTTGGGCCCTGAATGACCAGCAGTGTTAACCAGGTAGTACACAGTGGCCTTGGGTGAGACTCTGTGGCATGCTGGCTTCAGGTGAGACCTAGCACATTCACAGCTGTGGTGGCTATAGTGAGACTCTTTCTTAAGAAAAGCAGAGGGAAAAGTAAAGGGGATTTTGTCTTGTACCTTAAGTACTATCTTGGCCACAGTGGGATGGAATACCAAGTGGACTCTTGGTGTCCCCGATTCCAGGCCTTGATTCTTGGATGGCATTTCTGGACCTGCAGTGGGGCAGAGGAGAGCACACTGCCCTGAAGGGTGAGTCCCAAGCCTGGCACATTCACCACAAGCTGACTGAAAAGCCCTTGAGAAACATGAGTGGTAGCCTGGAAGTACTCCCTATGGGCCTATGGTGGTGGTGGCCACGGGGATTTCCTCTGCTTGTGGAAAGAGGAGGGAAGAATAGGAAGGACTTTGTCTTGTGGTTTGAGAGCCAGCTCAGTTGCGGTAGTATAGAGCATCACGTCAATTTCTAAGGGTTTGGACTCCAGTCCTTGGCTCCCAGACAGCATCTCTGGACCTATCCAGGGCTTGGGGTAACTCACTGCCATTAAGGGAAGGACGCCAGCCTGGTGGGCTTTGCCACCTGCTGATTGTAGAGCCCTAGGTTCTTGTGTAAACATAGGCAGTAGCCAGGTAGTGGTTACAAGGCTTTGGTGAGACCCAGGACTGTTGGCTTCAGGTTTAACCAGAAGGACACAAGCCTGGCTGGATTTGCCAGCTACTGATCGAAGAGTCTTAGGTCCTTGAGTGAACATACATCTGACCCAGTGCAATCCCAGTGGTGGTGGCCACAGTAGGGCTTGTGTCACCCCACCCCCAGCTCCATGTGGATGGCTAGGGGAGGGATAGCATTAGGAGAAATGCCTCATGTAGATGACAGGTTAATGGGTGCAGCAAACCACCATGGCACGTGTATACCCATGTAACAAACCTACATGTTCTGCACATGTATCCCAGAACTTAAAAGTATAAATTAAAAAATAAAATAGCTGTATTGGATATTGTTGAATGCTTTTTCTGCATCTATTGAGATGATCATGTGATTTTTGTTTTTAATTCCGTTTATGTGGTGAATCGCATTTATTGACTTGTGTATGTTAAACTTTCCTTGCATCCCTGGTATGAAACCCACTTGATCATGGTGGATCATCTGTTTGATATGTTGTTGGATTCAGTTAGCTAGTATATTGTTAAGGATGTTAGCATCTATGTTCATCAAGGATATCTGTCTGTAGTTTTCTCTTTTGGTTGTGTCTTTTCTTGGTTTTGGAATTAGGGTGATGCTGGCTTCATAGAATGAATTAGGGAGGATTCCTTCTTTCCCTATCTTGTGGAATAGTGTCAAAAGGATGGGTATCAATTCTTCTTTGAATGTCTGGTAGCATTCTGCTGTGAATCTCTCTGGTCCTGGACTTTTTTTTGTTGGTAATTTTTAAATTACCGTTTCAGTCTTGCTGCTTGTTATTGGTCTGTTTAGGGTATCTAATTCTTCCTGATTTAAGCTAGGAGGGTTGTATTTTTCCAGGAATTTACCCATCTCTTCTAGGTTTTCTAGATTATATGGATAAAGGATTTTCTCTCTTCTTTTCTTGGTTAAACTTGCTAATGGTCTATCAATCTTATTTATCTTTTCGAAGACCAGCTTTTTGTTTCATTTATCTTTTGTATTTTTGGTTTGTTTGTTTCAGTGTCATTTAGTTCTGCTCTGATCTTGGTTTTTCCTTTCTTCTGCTGGTGTTGGGATTCACGCAGGATTGTGGCAGAAATATTAAAGGGAAATATTAGGGAAAGTTATAGGAAATAGTCACAAACCTTTTGG